GCGCACAGTGGCTCTTCCCTCCCCTCTAATAGGATTTGGGAGCTTAGCCACCTTTGTGCAATAAGGCCAGCTCACCCCCGAGCCTTTCAGGCATGGCTGCAGTGGCTGCCTAAGAGCCTGTAAGGCTGCTAATGAAAAGTAATTCTGCCTGGAGCTCCGGGTGCCTGGGGAGGGATGGCCACCCGCGGGCACCGCCACCGCTGCGGCACAAGCAGGGCACGGGGCTGGAGCCGTCCTGGCTGGGAGCAAAGGAGGTGTGAGTGAGTGTCTGGTTGTCCTGCACCCAGGGCCTGGCATCGATTCTGACCTCGCAGATGCCCGTGGAGAAGTTCATGTTTTATTTAGTCCTCTTGGAGCGCCTCCGAAGCAGCGTTTGCTCACCCCCAGCTCCGTCGGTTCCTCGGCACAGCCTGGTGCTTCGCCAAGCCCTCCGTACCCAGCCCCGGTGCTGCAGGCATCCGACCTCTCCCCTGCGAGCGCTGCTGCTCCCAGAGAATGGTCTTTTTAAAAAAATAATAATAAAAAAATGAAGCATGCGATTATTATCATCAGGGCTGCGGCACGTTCCCCACGTACTGACACACAACATATGGCACGAGGTTGCCTCCCTCTAAATAATTCAGGCAGTTCATCGCCACTGCGATTTTCTGCGCCCTCCCTGGGCAGCCACAATTCACCACCTCCCTCCCCGTGCCTGCTCCCGGGGAGCTGGGCAGGAATACCAAATATTTTGTGGGCCCAGCTCTGCCCGTCACGCCAGCTGCCTCCAGCCCTGCTGATTGCGCGGGGAGCAGCTGGGTGGTTTGTCTTCTCCTCGTGCTTTTTGGGGCCCTTCCCTGTCCCGTCCAGGCAGGGAGGTAAGAGACAGGCAGGGAGAGCAGGCAGGGCTCCTTTGCCATCCCTCTGTGGGTGCGAGGATGCTTTGAGGACGCACGTCCTACAGGTGAGACCGCTCACCCGAGAGAAGAATTTATTAGTCCCGGCATGGAAAATTCCTTCAAGGAAAGAGTAGTCATTGAGATGCAAATTCACCATCCTCTGCGCGGAAAATGAGCTCATTTTCCCTGCACAAAGCACCGGTAACTTATTTGTAGGAATGAACAGCAATACCTCCAGCTCCCCGGGAAAATTAGTGCCCATTAGCAGGAGCAGGGAGCAGCATCCCAGGCTTGCCTATCCTTGGGATGAATGGGCAAGGAATTAACACCATATGACTTTTTTTAATTCACCCATTTTTTTTTTCTGGGGAACTTTAAATGGGTTTTTAATATAAATGTGAATTGGGAGCCTCGCGGGGCGTTCACCAACGTTTGGCTTTGAAAGAAAAAATGTGCCCGGGCGATGCGCGGAGCCTCGCGGTAGGGGAGGTGAGGAGGCTCTGCTATACGCTGCCCAGTTATAGCCACGATCCAATTATCCCATGAATTCGGTGATAATGGAACTAATGGCAACTTATTTAAGGTAAAAAAAAAAAAAAAAGCTGACAAAAAGCTCCCTTAAACAAGCAGCGCTCCGGCCGCGAGCTAAGTGCTGGGGTGTTGGGAAAGGCCAGATTTGTGGTTCTGGTGCCACTTTAATTCTGCTCCGTGTGCACTGAAATGAGAGAAAAGCCCCAGGAGGAGGAAGTAAGTGATCGTTTAACTAAACACTGCATCGTAATGTAAATGGGGGCAGAGCCAAGGTCAACCTGACTTCCATAAAACCGGCGTTTCCTAATTTCTGAAGCTTGAGCTTGAAGCCTTTTAGCGGAGGCTTTGGCAGGATTTCCCAGCCTCTTTTTTTAGGTCTTCCAAAAGAAAAAAACAAATCAAGGGGAAGGAGGAAAGATGGGAAAAGGCTTTTGGTGGCAGTGCCACCCCATGGAGGCACCCAGGGCACCTGGTGCTGGTGGGCACAGTCAGCTCCCTTGGTGCAAGCCCTCGATTGACTCAGCTGGGTTTTGGGGTTAAAAAACTTCAGGTGACGGCTCCATCGCATCAGCCACAAGTTCTCGTTACCCAAATTGCTGCCCTGCAGCCCTGGGCTGGAATCATTTATCTCCTGAGGCCATCAGCTGTGGTTTAAGCAGCTTGGAGGCACCCTGTCCTGGGGCTGTGCCACCTCCCTGCCTGTGCCGTGTTGCTGGAGCCCTTCCTTGAGCCTTCCTCCCTCCTGGAGCCTCCCCTCTTCCTCACCAAATTGGGAAGTGACCTGCACTGTGGCTGGGCACCTGCGTGGCTCCGCAGCCCTGCCTGCTGCAGGTGGCGAGGCTTTGTGCCGAGGGAGCTGCCCGTGCGTTATTAGCCATATCCCATATGGCACCCTCTGGTATTTGGCCACTGATTTGGAAATGTTTCTCTCTATCGACTATTGGCTACCGGTCCTCACATCAGGTAAAAATGAAGTGGGAAGCATTCCTGCCAGCAGAGGAGCGGGAGGAGTAATTAGCAATAAAAAAGCAAAATTCACCAACAGCCAGAACGGGAAAGCAGACAGCGATCGATGTGAAACGCAGGGAATTGATCTGGGAAGAAAAAGCAGTGAGCTGAGAAAAAAAATCTCTGAAATCTCTGGTCTGAAGGAGCGAGAAAGCAGCAAAGGGGAGTTCTCAGGCTTGGTGCTCTGAAGGAAGAGAGGAAGGGGGAGCTGGGGCTGGTGGCCCGGAGCTGTGCTGACGGAAAGGCAGCGGCTGGTTCGGGTTTCTTACGGACGGAGGCTGGGCAGGCGCTTGGGTACAAAGTGCTTTGGGTGCCTCCTCCCTGCCCTGAGCATCTCCGCCAGCTCAGAGATGACAAAAAGCCCCAAAAGACAAAAGAACATTTTCCTTTCCCTCCTCCTGTTGGAGGGAAGCAGAGCTTGCTGTGATTTGTCTCCGCGTCCCTCTTGTCTGCGAGGGAAGCGCTAAGAAACTGCTGTGCTTTCACCAAATGCTCCCACCCTGCCTCCCCCTCCCGGTGCCGTAGGAATATATTGCTCGACTCGGATGCTTTGCGTCCTTCTGACGGCAGCGGCGGTGCCTGGAAGCCTGCCCAGGAGCCCGGCTTCCCCCGGTACCGGCGGGAGGCACGGTGCCGTGCCGGCACGGAGGAGAGGGCACAGCAGGAGGTACCCGGCCAGTGGCGCTGGGTAGGGCAGCAGGAGCTGGGCACCGGCCCCTCACTCATTTTTCTAATGTGATTTCAAGGTCTCAGCATCCTGGGGCCTCTCTGTGCCGTTTCTGGGGCTCCTGGTGGAGCAGGAGCAGGGTGCGTGACCGGCAGCCACCTCCTCGGACAGCCTCAGACAGGGACGTCACCCCCGGCGCCTGCGGAGACAGGCAGCCGCTTGCAGGCACGGAGCGATGTCTCGGAGGACGCATTGCTCTCCTGAGGACCACTTTTTCAGCAGCAGCTGTGAAATCCAGTCATTTTTCCCCCCTTCTGTTTAAGGAGGTACCGATAAAAAGCTGGTGCGGCACCGCGCTGCGGACCCATCTTTCGGTTTAGAGGAGAGCAGGAATTGCAGCATTTTCTGGAAGAAGCCACCATCCCAACGTCCAGGCTCTGAAAAGAAAAGTGTTTTCCTTGAAAACAACAGCTTTCATCGCTCCTAGCTGGGGGAAAACCACAAGGCTCGCTGCGGAGAGGTTCCCAGCCTCCTGGGAGTGCCAGCCCAGGCTGGGTGCCCAGGGACCCGCTGTCACCCTCGTCCCCTGCCCGGGCACCCAGCCCTGGCCCCTGCCCACCCTCCAGAGCAGCCTGGTAATTGGCAGCTAATTGAATCCTCTCGTAATTACCTTTCCCCTGGTAAGCTTCCACCCTGGAAGGCTGTGCGGTTTGGGGCCGAGAGCAGGCTCTGAAATTATCAGTGCTAATTCCCTGTGGCTCTGTTTATTAGGCCAGAGGACTTCCCCAGAGTAATCAAACCCAGACAGAAATCGCATTAAGCCCGCAGCACAAACAGGGGTGTTTGCAGCACAAAGCCCTTCCTGTCTCATTAAGATCAATTAGGTTGTCTTGAGCAAACTTTTCCCCCTTCTTTCTGCTCCGCCGGGGCCACCAGGCCCATCCTCCTCCTAAGCAAGTGCAGCAGCAGATCTGAAGGTGAAAAATGCCAGCACGGCACCAAAATCACTCCCAGCAGGCCAAACAGAGCTGGTTCAGGGGTGAGGCCAGCAGGGCACGCAGGACGTGTCCCCGTGCCCTCTCCTGCCCACCAAGGAGCACACAGGAGGTCCCCTCCCTGGTGCCAGGGCTCCCCGGCAGTACCCCCGTGGGTGCAGAGAGCAGCATCCTATTCCCACCAAAATTCAACATGGGAAGGTTCCTGGAGGGCTTCCCAAATTGTGCCAGGTTCATCTGGAAGAGGAGGTTCTCGCTCCCAAAGGAGAGCAGCCCGGCACAGGAGCGCTCACTGCGCCAGGCAGCTCACAGCTCCTGCTGCTCGGTATCCCCCCCCTGCCACAGAGAGAACAGATTTGCGAATGTTTGCGAGCCAGGAAATCACTCAGAGAGGATGTTTTGGGGAAACGACGATGTTTATTCAACGGGGAGGCTGCTTGTGTATTGCTTGGGGGTGGAAAGGCAGGAGGGAGGGGAGCTGCCCCCGCCAGATCTGGGAGCCACGGGAGGATCTGCTAGGATTCCTGCTGGAAGGCAAATAACACGGAGAGCCTCCAGAGATTGCTTGGCTTCTCAGAAATCCTAACACGCGAGGACTGGAAAATAAACTGTAAATTCAGAGAATTTACAAAGCCCCAAAGCCTCTCCTTTCCTCTCCTCCTGGTGCTCGCATGTGCAAGAGCGCCCATGGGGGCAGCGCCAGACATCGGGGGGATGCCACAAACCACAGGTTTTTGGGGAATATTTCAACATTTAGGATTGAGCAGGGGATTTAGAGGCTGGCTCTGCCCTGGCACTTCGGGAAGCCATGCAGGAACAGGGGGAGAGGCAAGGGGAGGTGCTTGGGGTGGGCTCCTGTCACCCCTGGGCTCTGCACCTGCAGGGAGCCCCACCGAGGGCTGCGAGGGGTGCCCGCAAATTCTCGGAGCCACCGACTGAAAAATGGAGTGTTTGCAATAATTATTTTCAGTAACTGACCAGCTTTACGGATGGGTGAATAATATTTGTCGGATAAATTATTCATGATTTATTTCCACCGATCAGCAAATCAATTAGCTTCAATTATTCCTCCAGCTCCGGCAGGATCAACGGGCAGATTTATGGCACGGACGACGAACTGACGCGTGTTTCCGAACAGGGACCCGTGAAATCCTCTCCCCTCGTTCCAAATCGGCTCAGCTGAACCGAGGCTTTGATTCACGGTCGGACTCCCCAAGCTCCTGCCCTGTGCAGGGGGGAAGCAGAAGGAGAGCACGCGATGGAAAAATGGGAGGAACGGGAACAGAGAGGTGTGGGAGATGGAAAGAAGAGGGCGAGAGGTGACCAGGTGTGCGTGGGGGCAGCGTGGTGATGCACAGAGCTCTCCAGGTACAAACTGCCCGGGTACGGCCTGCTGGGAGGCTGCATTTCTGCAAATTAACCTCTACTGACATAATTCACCCTGCGAGCGCTCTTGTGCCCAAATTGAGGAGTGTCGACAATATTAAGCCGCACAGTAAACGCAAGTAAGAGTTATTAAACTAACAAACAGATAAATTAGCATAAGGGCTGGCTTTGCCTTGCAAAGTAGCAACCTCGGAGCTGTGTGAGCGTGGCGTAATTCAGCACGGGTGCGCTCGGTGACCGGTGGTGTGCGGAGAGGTCTCCAAATTGCCCCATCCATACACGCAGGGCACACACACACGGCTTTGTGAAGCAACTGCAAACGCAGCCTGAGAATGTTGTCTTCACACTTGGAGGCCACAACGCTCCCCGGGAACCTCACGAAGCAAGCGAGCTGTTTGGCAAAGCGATGGGAAGTTACCCAAAAGGAGACATTCAGTGCAAAATGTCACGGGGCGTCGCTGCCCCTGCGTGCATCGCTGCCGTTTGGCCGTGGGTAATTAATGAGCACTAATGAGCAGCAGCAGGTCTGTGGGGGAAAGGGGCCCCCTGAGTGCACAGGTGCCTTCCCTCGGCTGGGTGGGGCTGGGATGGGGGCACGGGGGGGCTGGAAAAGTGGCAAGTAAAACGGGGCATGGGGGTGTCTGGGCTCCCTGAGGGATGGAGCAGGGTCTCTGCTATGGGTGGGATGTGCCAGGGGGGAGAAGGCTGGGTAGCTCCCTCCCCATTTGCCACCATCTGAGGGTGGAGAAGGGCTGAGGACAGCTTTGGGGCTGGGGAGGCTCTAGGATAGACCTGGGACAGGCACAGGGACATGGGGCTGCCGAGAACAGGGACGGGGATCCCCAGCTGTGGGCTGCCCCCCACCTCCGGGAGACCCTCCGGGGGTCGCTCCCAGCCTCTGGGGGCGGCGATCCAGGGATGGGACAAAATCCCCGAGGTTTAGGACCGGCGCCGGGGCCGGCATCCCGCAGGGCGCTTCCCACCCCCGGGGATGCTGGAGCCGGGGGGTGCCGGGGGATGGAGCAGCGGGCTCGGGGGCGGCTCCCACGGCCGGGGGGGGGCCGTCTCCTCCCGGCTAAGGGGTGGGGGCGATGGGGGCAGCCCCCCCTTCCCTTCCCCAGCGCCCCTCCCCGCCGCCCGCCCCCAGCGCGCCTCCCGCGGCCGGCGGAGCGCGGCGCGGTGCGGGGCCGGCGGGGCTGAGCGGCGGGCGGCCGGGGGGGGGCTCCGCGGCCCCCGGGAGGGCTGGGGGCAGCCGCCCGCCCCCCCTGCACCGCAGCCGGCACCCGCATTTCCAACGGCGCCCGCTGCAGCATCCGGAGCGGACCCCGCAGGTAGGGCGCAGATCGGGCGGCTCCGGCTCCGGCACGGCTCGGTTTTGGGCATCCCCGCTCGTTTTTGGGAGAGGGAGGAAGGGGGGAAGCCGACGTCGCTGTCGGAGATGAACTTGGGTCTGGGGTGCGCGCCTGTGGGAGCTGGGGGTCCCCCGGGGTACGGTGAGAGCATCCCGCTGCTGCTCGGGGTGCTGGGCGCCCCGTCCCAACGGGGGGGGGCTGTGGATAGGCCTCGGCTGGAGGCTGTGGGAGCTGAGCCTGTGGGAGCTGAGCCTCGTCCCTGTCCTCTCCGGGGAGCCTCAACTTCCCCCAGCCCTCCTCACGGTGGGGAGTGGGGTGGGGGCAGTGCTCAGGGGGGAGGATGCTCGGGAGGATGCTCGGGAGGATGCTCCCGGCGCTGCGAGCCCTTCCCATTCCCAGCCACAAAAAGCGGGGTGGGGGAAGCAGCACAGCCTGGGGGGCACTGCCCCGTGCCCCCCCGGGGTGCTGTGATTGCCTACCTTCCCCTCTCCCAAACCTCCCCCCAGCGCGGATGCAGGCGGTGCTGGGGTCCTGTTGCTGCTTTCCCTGGGTGAATTCTCCCGGGAGCTCTCCCCAGCCGCAGCCCCTGCCCCTTTCTGTCCCCATCCGTGGGGCAGCCGGGCTTGGCGTGGCTTGGTGTGGGTGTGGGACGTGGATCCGCAGCGCTGCCCGAGCCCCTGCGGGAGTTGTGCTCAGCCCTGCGTGTCCCCTGGGTGCTCCCCAGCCTGGAGGAATTTGGGGGACGGAGTCCTGGTGAGGGCACAAGGGTTCTTGTGTCCCTTGGGGGGGGTCTTGCCAGGAATCTGGGTGCCTCTTTGGCTGTGTGCAGCGGTGGAAGGGCAGAGAGGAGCCAAAACGCTTTCTAGATGATGGTGGGAAGGGATATTCAGGATGAGCTGGAATTCCTAAGTTCACCATAGTGTCCACGGGGACATGGAGATGCTGTCTTATGGCCACGCAGTGCAAAATCTGGGTAGCAATACAAATACCATTCGGTGTTGTATCTGGTTAAGGAGGGACCCTCAGATGATCCTGGGAACCCTTGGGTGGTCCTGAGCCCAGCGTAGTGCCCAAACCCCCCCATCTGCCCAAGGCTCTTGGTCCCGGGGTCCTGCCCAGCTCCTCGGGCTGCCAGCACTGACGCTGTGCCGGGCTGAGGGGAGGGATGCTCATCCAAACCCCTACCCCACAGCCACCCGAAAGGGCAGCGCGTGCCCTCTGCCTCTCTCCTGTGTGCCCGGTGAGCCTGTGCTCGTCTGCAGGAATGGAGGTGGATGCAGGGGGCTCATCTCCGCATGCGAAATCCTCCCCCAGAAATCCCCTTCCCCCAAGTACCCGTGATGTCGGATGAAACCAGCTCGGATGCTGCGGTTTTAGGGCTCTCTACAGGTTTTGCAGCAGCTAACGGCAGACCAGGCTGAATATAAAACGGGTTTTTTTCCTCTCGTTCCCAATGCAAAGCTCTTGCTGTCGGAATGAAAACAGATGTCGGGCTGCCTGTTTCAGCCAGTTTTGCAGAAAATCGCCTCTGGTTGAGACGCCGGCAGTGCTCGGATCTGAAGCCCCATCCTGTTTACCTCTGTGCCTTCAGAGCAAAACCGTCCCTAACCTGCCCTGCGCGTGGCACAGCCGGGGTTTGCCCGAGGAGCTGCGCAAAGGGAACCCAGGGGAGCACAGCCCCGGCTCCCCGCAGCAGGAGCAGGCGGTGGGATGTCCCCGGGAGGGCTGGGGACAACCTCACCCCCACCTTGGGGAGCACCACGCAGACCTCAAGGCTTTCCAGCCCCCGTTCTGCTTTGTGACAGATTGCTGAGTGCTGCCTGCGAGCACAGCCACTGCGGTGGAGCTCAGCACCCCCTGCTCGCTGCCACAACCTGAGGGGGGCTGCACGGGGCAGGTTTTGGGGCAGGTTTGGGGGCACTGGGGCTGAGCCCACCGGGAGGAGCAGCGCGGCCGTGCCAAATCAGAGCCGGCTGGGGCGCTCGCTCTGCCTGCCCGAGGATGCTTTGACAAGTAGCTTGGTGTGTAAACGGGGATTTCTTCAAAACTTCTGGGAGGAGCAGCTGGCAACCGAGGAGCTATGTGGCAAAAATGTGCGTGTGTGTGTGTGTGTATTCCAGTCTAAACGGGGAAGGGAAAACATCCAGAGTTACGGAACTAATGCAAATCGAGTTGGCTTTCATCTCTCCCTGCAGCATCCTCTGTGGAAGATATTTGCATTTCCCCAAAGCCAGCTCTTCCCTACCTGTCCCTCCAGCAAACCCGGAGCCACGGAGCAGGGGAAAACCTTACAAGATTTGGGGCATCTCTCTGCGCATGGAGAGAAGCGAACCCAAATCCCTGGGAAGGGGAGCTCTTAGCCCAGGGCAGCAGGGCTGGGCAGGCAGGGGATGGAGGTGGGGGCAGCAGGGGGCTCTGCACACCCCAGCACACATTTGGGGTGCTTTTGGGTGCAGGGTGGCCTGGCATCACCCCGATCCGACGTGCTGGAGCCCCTCGTGACACCCTTGGGTTTGGGATGCGCAAAGCGCTCCAGATTTGCAGGGAAGCCTCAATCCAGCTCGGCAGAGCCACGAGCGAAGCAGGATTTCGGGAGCACTCCAGCAGCAGCTATTAGCTATGCTAAAAGGATTACCAGCTCTGCAGGACTCATCAAGTGTTTAAAACACAACTCGAGCATCAAAGGCAGGCTCTTACAGGCTCGCATTTTCACATCAAGTAACTCCGAAAATTCCTATCCAACTTAATTAAAACATCCTCCAGGCTCGTTAAAAGCAGAAAAACAAAGGCTTTTCTTGCTTTCCTTAAGCACCAAGCTATTTTTTAAGTGAGGAGTTCACAGAAAAGTGTGCAGGCTTCTTTGTAAAAGAGCCACCTTTGTTGAAGCCTCCTGTCCCCAGACCGCTGTGCCTGATTAATCTCAGGCTTTCCAAAAAGGAAATAAATACGGTTCTTATTTTTTTTTATTATTTTTTGCTGGCTAGGGACCACAGAAGAAAGATGAAAAAGGGAGAAGAGCTTTGTAGAGAAAGTTAGGTAAGAGGGTGGGGGAGTGCCAAAAGCAGACCTATAATGGGAAACAAGGCGCTGAAGTGCTGGGGAAGCACCTTTCATGCAGTGTGCCCTGTACCTGCAGACCCCTTCCCCAGGGAGCATGGCGGAGCATCCGACCCTCCTGGATGCTGTTTTTGGCACCTGGGCAGCCTGGCAGCATCCCCACCACGTCCCCTGGGCCACCGCTCGCTGCTCCTGCTGTGCCCGGTCTCGCTGGTGTTGGGTCTGCCCAAGCTCCGGCACGCGTCCTCCTTGGCACTCGCCCTCCTCTCCCTGCCCTGGGTCTTTATTTCGGGTGCCCCAGGGAGCCTTAAAGCACACCGAGAGGTTTCCAGGAGCTGGCTGGTGGTCCTGGGGCTATGGGCGCATCCATCACCACAGTGCAAACCTCAGTAAATGCTGTTGGAGAGCTGGGAGGCCTCGGACGTTTTAGCGTTTTATCCCGTGATGTTAATTTTTGATGGGTTTGATCAATAATGAATTAGCCTCCAAAAAAAAAAAAGGATTGAGAGGATTAGAGAGCTCTTCTCCTTCCTCTTGTTTGTGGGTCAGTTTGATTTCTTCCTCTTGAGTGTC